CTCACACTGAATAGGTTTACTCAAGTCATTACGTGTGTGTGTGTGTTGTTGTTGTGTAACATGGCCCTGGAAAATGGAGAAGCCGGTTTGGCAGTCACCCTGTGTGTACACATAAGGTATGAATCTACCCCCCCCCCCTCCCACTACCACCAGGGCAGTGCTACTGACTGAAACGTCTTTAGGCCATTCCCAAAGGGAGGATATTAACATGTTCTTATGCACAGTAGAATTGTAAATATGGGCTGATTTATCAATGTCATGCTCATATTGTGCTGGACCAGCATAGGGGGAACTGCTGCCTTTTCTGTCCTCTTCTTTACTATCGTCATTTTCCACTACTTCTTTTTTATGTTTGTCACGCTTGTGAACTACTATTTCCGGGGTGCCTTGATAGTGGAGGCTTGATTCCCCGTTAGGACTTCTCTGTTGACATCCACCCCTTGTCGCTCATATATCACCTATGCAGTTGCGAGCGCCGTAAAAACCTTACTTCTTTCCTATCAAACATCTATCGTCCTTATCTCCCCTCCTTTTTTAAAATGTTTGTTACTCTCTTGTAACACCTCTAATCTTCTGGCACTCATATGACCTTATGCAGTTGCGAGCGCCAAAAAACCTCTACTAAAACAAAAACCTTACTAAAACTAAATCTAGCTGCGAGCAAGCTTGCGATCGTCTGTCTATCCTCCATTTTGTCCACTGGACTTTGTTGTGTGTTCTTTTCGTTCAATATGTTATGTAATAATGATATATGTTATTGACCATTGATTGCGCAAATTAACCCCTTTTTTTGAGCTGGTGTTGGGCTTGATTTGCTGGGTAGTAAATTTTTTTCCAGGTGGTAAATTTTTTCAGTAAATATTGCTGGACACCCTGCAACCACTACTAGATCTAGACTAGCACTTAAGGAAAAACCTGTCTACTAAAAGCATGATATATATATCATGGATATAATATGGTCGCTTTTCAGGACACACGGGCTAACCAAGATTTGGAGGGTTTCCAGAAATCTTGACCCACACCAAAAGTGGGCATTGCCCTACCTCTAGAAGTTTGGTTTCATTGGTGTGTATTTGTTCGGTTATATAGAGAAAACTCTCCTTGTCTTTTACTTTTAAAGAAATTGAACAAGGGGCAAAAAACTTTACCTTCAATTTACTTAAAACAGCATTTTTTGGGATAGCCCCCTTGTGCTTAAAAGTGACCATATATATATTCATAGCAAGAAAATAAATTGGTCAAACTGCTTTGAAGTAGATTTTATTCGATTTTTATGATTGATGTGCTTGTCTAAAGTTTTTCTTTAATGGACAGATAGAATTAGAATCGTAGCATTTGAAAATTCATCTGAGACTCACATTAAAAAGTTGGTTAAATCCACAGAATGCCTCTAATCCTAAATTATCCAGCAAAGCACAATCAGTGATTGAAATTTCTTGTAATTTTATAGTGCCTGTGGTGCCAGGCAGGATGAAGCAGCCAGCCTCATAAAATGACCTTACAATAGTGTTGATCTGTTTGAGTCACATAGTAAAAAAGATTGCACTTTATATAAAGCACACATGGTATATAACCATGGTCATGGTGCTTTCAGTGGCATTTTACTCGATCCCCTGGCTGACAGTAACACAAAGTTCATGTAACAAGACATGCAGTCTGTTGGCCTGATATATAGTGTAGTATAAGTTTAACTTTTTTGTACACTTGGGTGAATTGACAATGACTACAGTCAAACCTGCCTTAACGGAAACCTGTATAAAACGGAAACCTGTCTTAACGGAATCTCCCCGCTGCCCCCTTGAAATATTCCTCTTTAATCACCTGTATAAAACAGAAACGTGTCCAATGCGGAAACGGAAAGAAAAATCCGCTCCCTTCCGAGGGTTTCACCTGTCTAAGACGGAAAATGCTTTGCCTGCTCAGACCTGGTTTGAAACAAAACTCGCAAGTTTGGTTCCGCCGGCTCTAAACTTTTACGCTATGGCCATGCCGCTGGGTGAAGAAGAGGAGTAGGGGTGCAATTTGGGGGTAGATGTTACCCCACCATGTGAGCCCTGAGTAATGCAGATGGTCAGTGTAGTGTGGGTGTGAAATCTCACGACTTCTCGTGAGAGTGCTCGAGTAGCGAGCTACTGCGGAAACTTTCCTGGGTAGCCAGAAGCCAGAGGTGTGAAATTAGATTGACCAATGCCGGCCGCCCGGATCGTACGGCCAGCCGAGAAAAGAGTTCCTCGAATCGTTGTTACAATGATGGCAGTGAGGGGTGGCATTGGTGGGTGGGGCTGAGGGTGGAATCAAAGGAGATGTTCAAACGTTTCTGTTTTTAATTGGTCAAAGAGTGGTCCTATGAAAAGTAAGCTTTGGTGGCAATTGGATAAGTAAGACTGACGCGTGTCATTATCAGACAGGAGAGGTGTGAAGTTTTGACCATTGCTTGCCGATCAGACAAACAATCCTTGATCCCACCGGCTGGGCCTTTGAACCACCCCTCCCCAACCTCCATCTTCCCCTAAATTCCCCTGTCTAAGACGGAATTTTTTTCTGGCCCCCTTGCGATTCTGTCTTACACAGGTTCGACTGTACATATATATATACAGTTGAAATGCATGGGATACACAAAAGAAATGAGTATCTGTACTGAATTTATTGTAAATTTTCCATTACAGAGATAAGATTCTCGTATTATATATATAGGTGTTTTAAAAATAGAAAAAAACAAAATCCTGCCAATCTCATGAGAATTTTCAAGTGTTAAGGTTAAATTAAGAAATGAAAAATCAGCATCAAGGTTTTATACTCTGTGGTACATGGTTTTAATCATGTATTGCATGTTTTCCATTCAGAACAAAAGTTGAAATTTAATGCTTTACAAAAATTAAAAAATCTAGTTGGTATCCTCTAAACGCTCTACCATTTCAGTGTATGGCAAACAGTAGTGTGGCTCCCCAAGCACAAATGGCGCCATGGCCCCACCCTTTGAAATGGAGAAGGGATTTTTTAAAAAGGGAATACGATTTTCCGAAATTTAACTAAATATCACAATATTTTCTTCAAACAAATCTTTTATTCAATTTTCATCCCTAAGTACGCCAGTCTTTAGTTAAGGTGTCTATAATTAGGCTATTTGGAGGAGGGTGGGTAGCCTGACAGTAAATTGAGTAAGGCCCTCGTAAAAGCCAGTTTATGTCTGGCCCTTTATTGTCAGTGTCTGTCAGTCCAGCTCAGGCCTAGGCTTTGTCAGAAAGTCTATCCCGGTCGCAAGGGTCCCCCCGCATCTTTCGTTCCCTTCGTCTGACGTCACAGAGGACCCTGAGCCCAGATTGGCGCTACCTGAACCAGTGTCTCTGCCTGAACCCATCTGGGTGTTCATTGTTTAGGTGTGAAGTCTGGTCAAAATAATTCAAAATGATCCTTAAACTATTTGATTCAATAAGTTGAAAACTGGGTTTTCTTTTTAAGAATAGCACAAAAACAATCTTTTATACTCCATCCTGACGTTTGACGGAAGACGCAAGAGATATCACCAAGAACATAAACTCAGCCAAAAATGCTACAACAGGTATTCCCATCACACTAAGAGATTGTACTGTTGGGCCAAAGGGCCAAGATAGATTTGGCGCCTGTATGGTAGGGAGGGGTTGGAGTGGTAGTTAGCCTGGAACTGTTTAAAAATAAGTTTGGCCGTCTGCTTTTGAGAAACCAGAACTACTAGTGAATCAGGGAATGGGGTCATTATGTGAAGACGCCCCGAGGGCAATAGTGCATGCGTGTTCTTGACTGTGAATGTGTGCTTTTCTTTTGATCTGTGGGATTGTTTTGGATGTGATTATGATGAAATGTGATTGTGCGCATCTTGAGCGCCGAACTTGGTTCTTTATCATCAGTTCTCTATATAAAAGATGGTACCGGCACTTATCTATTCTTCTCGCATGGAAGTAGGTGTCCCTGTATCAGTTTAAAATTAAACGAAGAGGCGTGTATAGTAAGTCTACAGTTTATAGGCCTGTAATAAGTTGCAATACTATTCGTTATTTATAAATTTGTTCTTGGTGCCACCGTCTCTGGAAGTGACGCCATGCCCCTGATGTCAAAGCATCATAAAAATAAACGTATGTGAATTGGATAGAATGAATGGTTACATGGACTGCAGATGGTTGTATTTTGTCTTTTTAATCTTTAGAAGGGCTATTTATAGGCCTAGTTATTTAGGGCTTTTAGTTTCGTCACAACTTCTCTTTCTTTGTTGGATTTTGTCACCTCTTGGCAAGGACAAATGTGTCCAGTCATTTGTGAACTCCAGTTTATAAAGGATGGTTCCATCTGGGCAGTGCTGCAGTGCTTGAGGATCGGTGACATTAGCATCATCTGCACCCTTTTTAGGCTTGATAGATTTGAGCGCACCAAAGCCTCTGTAGTTGGAGAAGAATGTGCAGTTTAAATACTAAAAATGGTTTAAGGTTTGTGCAAGCCACCTGTATATACTTAATGTAGTTAGATGGTGAGCGAATTTTCAGCGCCCTTAATTCTGTTTTCAATGGTTGCATGAACTGAATCCACTTTTATATATGTGTATTAACTTTTTCTGAATACTTTTACTCTGTGATTGTATCATGTGTCATGATGAAGTGTCTCAGGAACTGCACCATGGAGCTGTCACTATGGTTGCCAGTTTTTGGTCAATAGTGCAAGAAGTTCCCGACAAACCATTTTAATTTTAATGGGTATTATAATGAATTTGTCGGAGAGAGCCTTTACATTAAATGTTCTTGAGCCCCAAGATCAAACAGCATGTTTTGTGGTATCTAGGAAACTAAATATAGATCCAGCAAAATAAAACCAGTGTTTTTTTTTTTTTTTTAAAGAATTACAGGGTTTGCAGATTTCACTGTCGAGCTACAAGTGTAGCCTTTGCTTCACACACACTGATCAAAGCTTTTTCAATAGGATATTTCCCAGTTATACTTACATAGTACTCACACCTTCAGAATACATAAATTGTAATTAAGAGAGAAAGTTTTTATTCGTGAAATGCCAAATAGGTGATATTATTGCATTTTGTTTTAACCCAGAGTGTTAATGTGAAACTTGTAGATAAACTTATACTTTTGTCTTTCAGTCACAAATTTCACAATGAGTCTCACAGAGATAAGTGAGAACACTAGAACTGGGAGGGAGAGTGCACTGCTTGGAGACTATGAGACATCTATGGTGTACTACCAAGGAGTTATCCAACAGATCCACCGTCTGATGGGTACCATAAAAGACTCTGAAAGGAAAAGAATGTGGAGTCAGGTATTGTATTCTTTTCTGCAACTAGCATTGTACCTGCATTCTCCTGTTGATTTTGAGTTTCAAATGTATCCTTGTATTTCTCCTCAATATTGAGTTCACACTGATGAATTTGGTTGTACCCAAGTCACTTTAGATTTAATATGAGGGTGGGTATTTTTTTAAAAATTTGTTAGAACAGCATGGCTGTCACCTCCATCTAGTCAATTCCTGATAATGATGGTTCAGTAATATTAATATTTTCCCTGGGAGAGTGCTCCTTTGCCATTGACTTTCTCCAACGTGTATCCTTAAATGTACACGGACAGAAAGAATTTCACACAGCTACCATGGTTGACTGTGGAAATATCTCTCTCTCTCTCTCTCTCTCTCTCTCTCTCTCTCTCTCTCTCTCTCTCTCTCTCTCTCTCTCTCTTTCTCTCTCTCCCTCTCCTCTCCTCTCTCTCCCTCTCCCTCCACTCTCTTTCTCTGTCTGTGTCCCCTCTCTCATTCACTTTCTCTCTCTCCCTCCCCCCCTCCCTCCACTCTCTTTCTCTCTCTCTCATTCTCTCTCCAGTAAATTTGTTTTATAATCATCATTGTTGTATTACTCTAGTTGTTTTGAATATATGCAGGCTTGGTGTGTATGCTTTTATAGTATGCAGTTTTTTTTTCTGGTTCTTTTACAGGAATCTTCCTGGACCTTATTTAAAGTTTTCTTGTATTAAGTGGAAAACAAAGTTCAGCTTCAGTGAAAACGTTTACACTTGATTATAAAATTTGCTTGTGTTGTTTCATGACTTGGGTAGATTTATCAATTAAAAATAAGATTCTTTTATTTTTAGTTGTAAAACTATCCACGAACAGGGGGTTAAAGATATATTTTATATTAGAATGTTTGCAATACTTTGAGAGGATGATGTACAATGCACACAATTTCATTGCCAGATTTGATCTAGATTTTGAATTGAGGTAGTGGGTGGTTGGCGGGTGCTGTGGTGTGGTTTTCTCCTTCTTTCCTATCAAACATCTATCGTCATTATCTCTCCTTCTTTTTTGTGTTACTCTCTTTTAACGTCTCTAATCTTCACACTTATATATCACCTTATTGTGTTGCAAGTCAAGTGCGGTAAAACTCTTACTAAAACATAAAACTGAATTGAGGTAATTTGGTAAGATTTTTATGGCTTCCCAATGCACTCACATGAACACTAATACTCAGTTGTGATGCCTTTCTGATCTCTAGTTGAAACAGGAGATTGTTCAAGAATACGAACAAGTAAAAGAGATTAACAGCACTTTGCAGTCCTTCAAGATGGAATCAGTACATGGAGCTAATGGTGCCTTTGGTGGCGGTCTTGAGAGAGGTTTTGGTAATCCTCCAGACTACCGCCATGAACAACCAACACGAGACCCTGATGTGTGGCCTCCCCCAACACCAGTTGAGCAGAGGTAGCTTTCACATGTTCCCTGTTATAAATCATTCTATGAAAACTAACATACCAGCACATGTTTTTCTTTTTTCTTATTTTTCTGCTTTCATGTAATTATTTTTAGATGTTGTTTGAGATGTGATCCTTTACATTTTTCAATGCCTCTTTTCTGTTATTTGGCACTGTAATGTTGATAATGCTGTTTACACATATGTAAAGCTGCTGTCTCGTCCCCTTTGTTCTTTGAACATCATTCATTCAGTCTCTTTCTTTCAACTGCCATCAGATCTCTTTCTATCTTTTTCTCTTTGTTCTCTGCATATGTGTGCTATAAATTTGCTTCCTCTTAAAAAAATCTACAACTTTTTGCGTTGCCAGACCATCTCCAAATGTTCGAGGTGTGCAAAGATCCAATCAGCAAAGAGCACCTCAAAATGGCAAAGGAAGTCGACCCTCACAGAACAGACCAGGGCCATCTCCCGTTCAAAAAGGAGGTGGTAGAGGGGCTGGTGCAGGTCGAGATGGAAGCGCTGGTCAGAAGCAGAAAAAAGAGCAGGTATAGTGGACCAAGGATGTCTTATTATGGTAGCAATATTGATGGAAGAAAGAGCTGAAGCAGTATATTTGTAAATGTTTTTCTCCTGCAACACATAATTCGAACAATTTAGTAGGTAGGCTGCTTTGATCCTGCCTTTCAGGGCTGAGTGGGACACATTGTTTCAATAGCAGTTGGAGGGATTTAATAAAATTACAACTGTTAAAGGGAATCAATCTCATCTCTTCTCTTTGCAACAGCAAAGAGCCTAACTACTACATATTTGATTTTTTTAAATAGTATCTTATGGGGGTAGCATTATTATTTACTTTGAGGGAAGGATGGGGGGGGGGGGGCACTTTATGACAAACTGGTGTATATTGGGTTCCATTATATATCAAACAGTTATTTCTGATGTGATTTAATTTCAAAATTAATGTGCATGCTACTTTATGAACGCATTTCAGCTTTTCCCTTTTACTACTGTTTAGTTTAGTTTTAATGAAATCTTACTGCATGTAGATGACACTTCAATTGTAATTCTGTCAAGTAGTTAGAAGACTAAGCATAAAATGTCAGCAGTAGAGAAAGTTCACTGGTTACCTCAAGACCGGGCTAGTGACTGATGTCAATGGGTTTCAAAGTGATTTCTCTTTTCTAGGTGTAAGTTGTGTACATTTTTCAATACAATGTCAGTTATTCATGTAATGGGACTACCCAATTTTCTATTCATCTCTGATTAGACACCTTTGACCATTCCTCTTTTGGGATGGCCAAGTTTGATGTGACGTCACAGATGCATACATTCATTGGTGCAACTGGTGCTCTTGCATCAAGTATTGTGCTTTGCTTTTTGTACACATATGACGTATGTGGAAAGAGTAGTAATTCTTTTAGTTATGACCATCTTCACCCTACTTTTCAGACAGCTCTCTTACAACCCAAAATAAGAGGTCTTTTTGACATATTGTTATTTGTTATTTCACAATGCTTTCATTTCAGTCTGATGAGAAAAAATATGAGGCTCAGGGACATGAAAAGGATTTGGTTGAGTACCTTGAAAGAGATATTGTGCAGAAAAATCCTAATGTGAGATGGTGAGTAATAGAAATCTAGCCAGCAGATTTATATTTATTGTTCTTGGTGGGGAGGGGCTTTGCCTTTTATTTATTTGGCAGGTTTTTTTCCTATGTACTGAAATTGTGTTTTGTTTATTTCTTTTAGATTTTTTTTTCTTCTGAGAAATCTTAATTTATATAATATTCTCAAATGCCCATATTGACTCTCTTAACACTTAATCCCCTGATTGGCTCAATACCATTCGTGCCATATTCTCCAGATCTGCTCAACTGCTGCTTGCCATGGTGATGCATGTGAAGGCGGAAAATATTTTGATAGTGATGTCCCCTGACTCAAAAGTGAACCAACAATGTCTACAAAGTTTCCATTCTGCTAGAACTGTTGTAATCATTATAACGAAATACAAAAGATAAACAAAACTTTTTGTGAAGCGAACCAACAAATTTCATCTTCAACTTCAAGTTGACAAAATGGTGATGGAGGGGCCTTCAATTTATGCTCCAGTTGTTTGTTGACAATGATAGTTCTAGATCAGTCTCTGATTTATTCTCTGAGTAAGATTCTGATGATGTTTTTGTTTTGTTCGATAATGACTTTACAATAAAAGGGGATCTACAAAACTTAGACCCAAACATTTTTACTTGTGGCAGTGATTGATCTAACGGATTAGGAGGACTGGGGGAGCAACTGGCTTCTTTCATTTTAAAAATTCTTATTGATAGAATGGTGCTAGAGACCAAAATAATACCCAACAGGTCCTAGAAAGTGGGAAGATAATACCATCTTGCTATTTTTGTCCACATGGAATTCGTCAAAATTGACCTCAATACAGATATTGAACAATGATGAAACAAATCCACCTTATAATTCCAACATTATGACTAGGAACAGACTTGATGGGACCTTTTTTCCTTTCTTTAGCAACACAAGTAGACAAATGGTATAGGTTTTTTTTTCATTTTTGCAAAACCAAGTCTTTAACTGATTCCGTCCATTCGGCCGCTGACAGCGGCTCTGAGTTTTTCCGCTGCGTCCGTTCGACCGCTGTGAGCAGCTCAACAAAATCCGAAACAAATGTGCACTTTTTAACATAGTTCCGACTTTTTAAGTTGTCGACAGGAAGTAGAACTTGTAAACAAACCTGACCTCAATCTCTGAGCGCCAGTATCGATCGAAACTCCGCGAAATTCTTGCAAAAATCGTTGTTTGGTTGTCGCGATGTAGGCTAGATCTCAGGGTAAACAACACGGGGCCTGGTATAATAAAAAGGCCCTTCAAAGAAAGATATTCAACTAAATTTGTGAAATTCTTTCATAAATGTGTGCTAGGGTGATATTGCTACAATGTTGTGTTGATTCTTATGGTTTATAAGGACTTGTAGAGCTGAGAAAATGCGGTAAGTCGAAATTTTCGAGGAGCTGTTGCGCAATTTTTTTTTCTCATTCGTTTTTGTCTGAAGGAAAATGCAGTACAAACAGATTATAGGTAATTGTTATTGATATAAACTCATTCCTCTATTTATTCCCATCAGTTTGGTATATGACAATACCTATTAGAGTGACTTAGAGCTTCACAGTAATGCATTAAATAGATGCACCCCAGGTCTATAACTGAACAGGGAAAAATAATTCTGTCCAGAGCCTGAAAAAATCATGGACGGAATCAGTTAATATTATATTTTGTTTAAAGTTGAACTTCATTGAACAATATGGGTGTTTCAAAGTGATGTGGAAATTTGGCATCATCAGTGCCTTTCACCCCTGGCAGGGTATAAGCCACATACAAGCTCCTTCCATTTATCTCTGTCCTGTTCCATCCTTCTTAGCTCGTTCCAAGTGAGCTTCATCTCTCTCATGTCTCTTTCCACACATCTCCTCCATGTTTCCCGTGGCCTACCCCTGCCTCGTGCTCCCTGTGGGTTCCATTGCAGTGACTGTCTTGTGATGTTTCTGCTGGGCTTTCTGAAGGTGTGTCCCATCCATCGCCACTTTCTTAGTGCTATTTCTACTTCTATATCCTTTTGTCCTGTCTTTTCCCACAGCTCTTCATTTCTTGTTCTATCCTGCCACTTAATTCACTTAATTCTTAGGATGGGGCTCTCGTGGCCTAGAGGTTAAGGTGTTGGCCTCTCATTCAAAGGTCCCGGGTTCGAACCCGGGTAGTGACCGAAAAATTTTCTTCTCTAAAATTGTCTCCGTTCACCTCCTTTCCTGCTCTCTAGCAATGTTCTGTTGTCTGCTTTCATTTCCACTTTCTGCCCCCACCCCCTCACCTCCTTTGCCCCCTCCTCTGGGCTCCTGACTCTTTCTGCAGCCTTTCTACTGCTACTCCTTGGCTTCTTCTTACTGCTGTCTTTCTGCCACACCCCTGATCTTCTGGTAGGAAAGATCTGCACTTAGCCTTCTCGGACAAGGGCGAAAAATCTCGGAGGGCTCGTGTGCAAGTTGCGCACGTTAAAGATCCCTTGGTGGTATAAAATCGATAAGAGTAGGCTTCGGCCGCCACCCGGGCAAAATTCAAAATTTCCTACCAAACTCATATGACCTATGCAGTTGCGAGCGCCGTAAAACACTTTACAAAAACAAACAAACAATTCTTAGGATACTCCTCATACATCTGTTGATGAAAGTCTGGACTTTATTCAGCACTGTCTTTGTTGTCTTCCAAGTTTTGCAGCCATAGAGAAACACAGACTTGACATTGGAATCAAAGAGTCGAATCTTGGTGCACAGTGAGATGCTGCTTGCTTTCCAGACTTTTGATAATTGATTGAATGCTGACCTTGCCTTGGCGGTTCTTGCTTTTACATCTGCCTCAGTTCCACCTTTTCCATCGATGACACTTCCAAGGTAGGTAAATGAGTCCACTTCTTCTAGGGGAATGTCTTCCACTGTCACAGCAGGGCTTGACACTTTTCCTAGCTTCACTACTTTTGACTTGCCCGGGTGTATACGTAGGCCAACACTCCTTGATAGGCTGTTGAGTTTTTTTGTTTTTTCTTGCATCTGAGTATGTGTGTGAGAGAGCAGTACAAGGTCATCGGCGAAGTCCAAGTCGTCCAGCTGCTGCCAAGGGATTCACTGTATTCCATTGCGCTTGCCTCTCGTGGCTTCCTTCATGATGCAGTCAATTGCCAGTATGAAGAGAAAAGGTGAGAGCAAGCATCCTTGTCGCACTCCTGTCTGTACCTGGAATGGTTCAGAGAGTTGTCCTTCGTGGAAGACTTGGCAGTTTGTTCCATCATAGGTGGTCTTCACAAGCTTGACAATTTTTGCAGGTATTCCATAATGCCACATGAGTTTCCACAGAGTTCCCCTGTCCACGCTGTCAGATGCCTTTTCATAATCAATGAAGTTGACCACGAGTGGTGAATTCCATTCAAGTGATTGCTCAACAATGATGTGCAGGGTAGCGATCTGGTCCACACATGATCGGTTCTTGCGGAGTCCTGCCTGGTTTCCTCTGAGCTTCCCATCTGTTTCCAGCTTGATTCTCTCCTGGAGTATTCTGTTACAGACTTTCCCAGGTATGGACAGGAGTGTTATGCCTCTGTAGTTGTTACAATTGCTGAGGTCTCCTTTCTTTGGCAGCTTGATTAGGTGGCCTTCCTTCCTGTCTGATGGTATTTCCTCCTCTTGCCAAACCTTTTCGAATAGAGCATAGAGAATTTCGACTGATGTATCTTTATCTGCCTTAAGGGCTTCCAGTGATGTATGGTCGGGACCCGCTGCCTTGTGGGACTTCAGTGCTGTTATAGCTGCGGTTATTTCCTCTCTTGAAGGTGGTTCCGTAGCGATTGGGAGGTCTTTTCTGGCTGGAAGGATTTCTGGTTGGTTTTCTACAGGTGGTCGGCTCAAGGGTTGATCAAAGTGTTCTTTCCATCGGTTAAGTTGCCCCTCTGGGTTGAAGATAGTCTTTCCCTCTTTGTCTTTCACTGGTAGAGTGGGCTTGCTGAACCTCCCTGAAAGAGTCTTTGTTGTCTGGTGTACAATCTGCATCCGTCTGTTGCTGCTTTCTCTGCCTTTTTGGCCAGGCCATTCAGGTAAGTATTCTTGTCCTTCTTGATGGAATTCTTTACCTCCCGGTTTGCTTCGGTGTAGTCTTGTCGTGCAGCGAGTTTCTCAGTTCAGGTACGGCTGTTGTTGACTTGGGCCTTCAGCTCTCTTCTTCTTTTGATTTTGTCTAGAGAGTCCTGTGAAATCCATTCATTCCTGGTGTTGACTTTGGGTCGGTCCTCGGATGCTCTGGCAAGTTGCATTTACTGCCTCTTTTATATTGTCCCAGTGTTTGTTTACTTGACAGTCATCCAGATCTTGAAGGGCTTGAAATCTGTTCTTCAGTTCCAACTTGAATTCATTCTTCTTTACTCGGTAAATTTGGCATGAATTGCCTTAATTAAACTTAAATCTTTAATGAAGTTTTTGTTTGTATGGTGAGTCACTTTGGTGTGATTTTGGCGGAAAAACTCAGTGTTTTGGGTATTCATTAGTCATAAAATAACTTGGTAGATTAAGTGTTATCAGATCACAGTAATGCTTTTATATTTATTACCTTTAGTTCTATTAGGAGACCGTAGTCATTGGTAGTGTTTAATACAATGAATTCTGTTATCAGAGAGCAATAAAAATGTTTTGTTATTTCTTTGGGAACTTTTATGAGCAATTGCCAAAACGTGAGACTCTCTTGAGACTCAGTGGTGCAAAAAAAATTTTCTTACCAATTTGACTCTCTTTTCTGTCAGTCACAGATTGACATTTAGTGCTCATATTCCTAGAGTATCAGAGCAAGGAGATGTACGGTTTTGGAGATATGGGTCTATTGGTTTGGCAACCACTGTATTTCTTGTATGTAACAGTGATGACAAAACAGATAAGCAGCAAGGCAAATTATGGACTTTAAATTCCATTTGTTTAGTAAACAAAGACTTTGTACACTATGAACTCCATTCATAATGGTAATATGAATGACAAGCTTTGTAACAATGACGCAGTGCACAGAACATGTCATCATTGTTATGTACAAGAAAGGATACACATTGGACATTATCATTGACAACACATCACAATAGTGAAAGGCTGTATAAATACAGTTATCAAAGCCTCAGTACCAGAAAAACACATGTGTAAAACAATTTTTAAACTAATATGAGGCAAAAGCACAAAATCAATTGAGCTGACCTGTACATAACAGTGATGACAAACATGACTTGTACATAACAATGATGACACAATGTACAGGAAAAGACAAAAGTCTTGCCTCCAGAGAGAAAAGCGCACTTTAAGAATTAAAAAAAAACCAGGAGAGGTTTCTTTTGCTTTGAAACAGATATCAGGTCATATCAAAGACAGTGGACGATCACCATTATGTTGCTAATTATGACAAACAGTACTCTTCATAACAGTGATGACAAAACAAACTGGGAAAAGGTAAAATCATGCCTACAAAGAACAAATTTGCACCAAGAGATACACAGATCAATAAAGGCGTATTTTGCTTCTAAATGAATCTTGCATGTATGAAATATATGTTGAAAACTTATTGATATTAGCAATGATGACAAGTATTACTTGTACGTAACAATAATGACACAATGTATTGGAAAAAGGTATATCATACCAACAAAGAACAAATGTGTATTTTTGAGTTAGATAGATAAACAAGGACATGTTTGTTTATTTGTTTGAGAAAAGAGAGCACACATTACTTTAAAAATGTTTGCTCTTAGGACAATGTAATTTCTAGTACGTCAGTCAGTCTTGTACGGCTGCATGACGACACCCCAAACGTCATCACTGAGCACAAAAGCTAAATCTATAACCACAGAAATGATCCATCTCTCGAAGTTTGTTCACACATCACACTCTTGTTCCAGGAATCTAGTGTAAACACCGCAATTTCACAAAAATATTCAACAGAGTAGCCTAAAAACACGCAAAACAGCCCAGTACGTCACATTCAACGCAAAATTCTTGTGCGTCACCGGACGCTGAAGGCAATGACTACTTTCGTTTTTCTGTTTCCCCCGTTGCTTCCGTTGTTCTGGGGAAGCGGGTAAGGGGAAGTCACTCAAGAAAACAGTTATATCCGGGCACTGTTGATGACCCGTTCAAAACAAAAGTGGGCGAAATTCGGACTTCCGGCACGTCACAAATTGACGACAATAACGGCGAATGTTAAACAGCCGACCGAAATCGTAGATCTAGGAACCCGATGTTCCTTTCGCGCATCGCGGCTTTTGAAGTATTGAATAAACGACGATAGGCAAAAAGATTTAACCAGCTACGGTGATTCTACTAAAAAATAATGGTGTTTTCTGAAACACTTAGTCCGTGACGACACGACAGACGCACAAGTAATCGGAATTGTTCGTCTATTTGAAAACAAATAAACCGATTTCTTGAGCAAGTTAACCTTTCTCAATGACAAATAGCATAGGATCAAAGCACACGTAAAATAAACAGAGCCAAAAATTCTAAATTTTGGACATTCTTGGAAATTTGCATTGGTGTGCTCAAAATGACACTCCAGGAATCACAAAAAAACTAACATTTTTTGGCACAAAATTTACAAACTCAAGATTATAAAGCTGACATGGGTTCTGAAACTGCTAATGCAGGTTCTACATCCTATATTTGAGGTGTGTATACGTTTTGGAGAAATAAATACTAATGCATCACATTTTATGCACACTAATGTGAGATGTTTGTGTTTTTCCCCACGTTTTGGCAATGGTTCTTATACATTACTTGACATTTATTTGCTGCTTGTTCTTTGATCCACAGGGATGACATTGCTAGTCTAAAAGATGCAAAAAAGCTTCTGGAAGAGGCGGTTGTCCTGCCCCTTATTGTACCTGATGTCTTCCGAGGAATAAGGAGGCCATGGAAGGTGAGGCCTTATTTTTTAGATGCATGTCCTAATGTGTAAAAAATGTAATTTAAAAAAAAACCTTACAATTTAATGCATGTGCTAGTTTTTGTTAACCCTATCTGAACGTTGTGTTATACTATCGTATCCATACGATGTGGGGAACTCTATGCCTCCACTTTTCAAAAAGGAAATTTACTCATTGTTCCAATCTGTGCGCTTTGTATAGCAGTCTGTCAAAATGATTTTTTGAGAAACGCTGAAAGTTTCAAAGAGATCTTCGTACTAGAAGTATTCTAAAATGTGAAGAATACAACCCATGGGGTACAAAATGACCCCAGGCATACGGATAGGGTTATCCAGTCAAAACATACAATTTTGCTGGAAGGGTTATTTTTATTAGGATCTTTTTCAAACAGTAGTGTTAGTGACTGGACTGAAAGTCTTTTGCAATCTGTTAACACCCCCTGAGCTACTGGTGGTACTACTTTTTAAGAATTCTCGTGAGACTGAATGTTGAAGACTTTTTTTTTTTCAGCACTTTTTATCTGCATGTTAACATTACTTTCAGCTCATGATCCTGTAAGTCTAAGCAAACCTGTAATGTTTAGTTCCTTTTTTTTACTTTGCCTAGGATAGTTTTGAACATTAAAATCATAATACTATGGAGTCTACTTAAACTGAGTACAATTAACATGAAAACAGCGGTAAACGGAAAGAAAATAAAATTGGCAATTTTTTTCCTTCTATTTAAGTAGCCTTTCTAAACAAAAAAAGGCTTTACAAAAGAAAATCCGGCGGTCGCACAGATTTCGGTTTGTAGACTTCCCTGGAATTGTTTGGGTTTCCCTTTTTATGTTGAGCAGGTTGTTGGTGGGGTCTCTTTTTTTCCCTTCTCTTTCTGCACATTTCTGATTGTCACTTGGTACCAGATAAAATGTGACAGCTGTTATGTTGTCTCACAAATACAACAGCTTAAGTACTTTTCATGTTTGGAGAGTATAGATAACTTTCAGGTCTATATAGCTTCCATACAGTTACTCATAGTGTCACGGTTAATATGGTACCGGAATTTCCGTGTGTTTATTTTTTCTGCTGATGTTTGAAAATGTCACTAGTGATTCCTGTTTCTTTACTCTCCTTCCTTTACTTCTGTCAGCCTGTGTTCATTTTTGTCAGCTTGAAATGAGCATAATCGTGTCAGTGTGCATTTGTTTAACTAAAATCATTTTTTTTCTCTTTCACCGTTAGGGAGTGTTGATGGTGGGTCCCCCTGGAACCGGCAAAACGTTGTTGGCTAAAGCAGTAGCCACAGAATGTGGCACCACATTCTTCAATGTCTCGACCACAAGCCTCACGTCCAAATGGCATGGAGAGTCAGAAAGGCTTGTGAGGCTTTTGTTTGAAATGGTATGAGATGCTTGGTTTGTTTGTTTTATAACCTGTTGATTTTTTAGTGTAACTGGTGAATGTTCTGTTTTTAGGTAGTAGGCTATAGACCTGGGTTGATAACTTTAACAACCTAGATCAATAACACTAACAACCTGATAACAGACAGTATAGACTGATTTCAATTTGTAGATTTAAATATTTACAGCAGTTAACTATAGGTGTAGTAGACCTTGATACATTACGGTATACCGGAAAAGATATCACAGTAATTCATTGCTTCACCAACATCTCCTTTTTCCCAAATGGTGACTTAAGCACTGTCGGATCAGTGCAAAAAAAATAATTAAATAATTCCTGATGCGGATCTGAGGTAAAGGAAGCTCTCACAATAGGTGCAGAGATAAAGACTGAATTATTTAAGATTATGTTGGCGCTGCTGGCTTAAAAAAGTTTTGCTTTCTAATTATTTCGTCACTGTGTCTAAATTTATTTTCTCCTTTGCCAGCTTGGTACTACCTGCATGTCTTTGTTGGGTTTTTTTTTTTTGGGGGGGGGGGGGGGGGAAGGGTTGTGGGGAAAGGTATTAACTGGAAAAAAATGTGACTCTCATTTCAGGCACGATTCTATGCACCTAGCACAGTGTTCATAGATGAGATTGATTCCATATGCTCTAAGAGAGGATCTGGCTCAGAGCATGAGGCAAGCCGCAGGGTCAAATCCGAAATTCTTGTTCAAATGGACGGTAAGGACTTTCTGTGGCTTAGAAAAAGTCCCATTGAAATTCATTCTGATAGCCCAGCCAGTCATTCTGACAGCCTAACCTTATTTATGTGATATTTTTGCTGTATAATAAGAATAAATCAGTACAATAGTTGCATTTTCTATGCCATAGTTCTGTGCTTGGATCCCAAATTCACAAGCAAGAAATTACTGAGAAAAGATTCAAGTTTTGACGAGATCTATATTGTTTTCTATGAGAGTGTCATACTGTAATTTTTTTTCTTGGCACAAGTTGTCATTCATCTCCTCACATGAGCTAGAATTTTCTTTGGGGATAATAGGTTTTGCTTTGATTTTACAGAAATTTGATTCCACTAGTTACTCACCTGTTTAGCTGAAATAGTTTATTGCATGCAATTTGTGCTGCATGTCATGGAAGAGATTCCATTCTAAGAAAATGCGGTTAGTTGATTTGGCAGTTACTGTCTTTGGGCATCATCCAATAGCTGTCTGAGATGTGCAAAAATAACATATTTTCCCAAATTGCAGGAGTGAGCGGCGTTGCAAATGGGGATGACCCAACAAAAACTGTGATGGTGCTTGCAGCGACCAACTTCCCTTGGGACCTTGATGATGCTCTCCGGCGAAGATTGGAAAAAAGAATATACATTCCTTTACCTGATGGTGAGGGTCATATATTTTCATTATCATGCCCGGGCATGACTTCTTATGTCTGTGCAAAGTTATCAAGGACTTTTCTACTAAAAGTAATGTCTTCTTCTTTGTTTCATTGCTTCACCTCGGGGAACAGTATGTCGGAAAAAGTACCGATACAATGAATTGGTACCTAGCCCATTACATAAACTCTCGGGGAATAGGAATAAGATAAGATTGATCCATGAGGGAAATTTTAGGCGAATATTACAGAACATCAATCAACGTACAAAGATTTGTTGTTACCACTGAAATGCTCCACGCAACACATACAGCAATGCAAAACTGACTCGCAGGAGTGTGCGGGGTCCATGAATTCTGTCTGTCTGTCTGTCTGTCTGTCTGTCTGTCTGTCTGTCTGTCTGTCTGTCTCTCTCTCTCTCTCTCTCTCTCTCTCTCTCTCTCTATTTCACACACACACACACACTGTGTCTCTCTGTCAGTCACTCACTCTCTCACTCTCACTCTCACTCGCACACACACATGCTCGCGCGCACACAGTCTTCTGTTCTTCCGTCTGTCTCTTCCATGAACATCAAGCACATACCTGAAGATAAAGCACAATCACACTCGAAAACATAATTCTGTTTGCAGAGTCATAGATATTGTTCACTTTGATCTGACCGAGGAGAGGGCAAAGAAGTTTTTATCCCTCTGTTTTTGAAGGAGGCTGAAGGATATTATTACTTCTCGTAGATCTTGCATATGGTTAGCACACAGGATGTGTGTTATCATTTATTATTTATTAATATTTTTGTAGACAATGTCTTGAAATAGATGGGGACAACATCTTAGAGTCTAAAATTCACTTTTTTAAAAAGCTTTCTTGCAACAATATTATTCATTTTCATGCTGTCCGCTGTTGTTGCTGCAACAGGCCTCCAAATGATGCCAGAAGAAATTATACTTTCGAATATGGAGATGCAGAATCTTTTTAGGTGGTAATTTGAGTTTCAAACAACTTAAGTCTGTACAAAAAATGCATAAAGAAACTTATCTCACTGGAGACTTGGCCTTTTTCGGGTCTACATGCGCTGAAGACTGGCATTTTTGGGGGTATTTCAATATTTCAAACAACACTTTTCCCAAAGATATACAACCACCATTCTACACAAATAACAGATCTAAACATGCCCAATATGACACAAAAAACAGAAAGGCAATATCTTTTATAGTTTTTTAGAAATTGATTTTTTGAAAATGTGCTAAAATTTTTGCTTGCCTAAATTTTTTGACTTAATATGTTGTGCAAAAAAGCCCAACAAAAAGTTAATCTTGTGTGTGTCTTTTATTGTATTTTGTGTTTCAAAATGAATAAAAAGTCGAAACTCGTGAATAAGCAGGTAATCGATATGGTAATCCTTATATATTAGCTGTCTAATCCATTTCAGTGTGAAAAAAAAACCTGGGCTCTAGACAAAGCGGAATTTTGCATTTGAAAGCCTAGTCTAGGTCTGGAACATTCTGTATCAGAATCAGTGCATTGATGCTCAGTTACATTGAAATCAGGATCCCCATGCTCTAAAATATCATAATCAGAATTTTCTGAACTATCAAATTTGTCAAACACTTGAAAAATGTTTGCTTTTCGTGCTGCCAAGTGGGTGGTTGGCGGGTGCTCTGGTGTGGTTTGCTCCTTCTTTCCTATCAAACAACTCAGGTCCTGATCTCTCCTTCATTTTTGTGTTTGTTACTCTCTTGTAACACCTAATCTTCGGCACTTAAAAAACCTTATTGTGTTGCAAGTGTCGTAAAACTTTTACTAAAACTAAACATGCTGCCATCGTTCTGATAAAGTGTTGCCAGAACAGACACCAGTCAGAGAAACGCAAATAGGGCCTCAGTGTGACTAACTTTCTTTCCGTGTCGATAACCCAAAAAGTTTCGAGCCAATTCCGGTGAAACTTCACACGAATTGAAACAAAGGTCGGCTGCAGGGTAAGAGACGGTCCACACAGCGTTTGTGCGCATACTTTACGGAGGAGAAAGAGCAAAACTTGTGCTTACAGGAGGTGTGTGAACCGCCTCTCTGGAAAATATTGGTGCTCACAAATGCTGCGTGAAATGTCTCCTGTGAGTTAATTGCTTTGATTTTTTACCAAGGTTCTACATATGCTATTTAATTTATCAACAACAGTGAATCCAAGATACTTGTATGTTGGTACAATGTCCACCTGCTCTCTATTGATTGTTAATAGGAGGAGATTACACTTTTTAATTCTAAAGTGTATTTTAATTTCTTTAGTTTTAGAGAAATTCAGAATATATCAATTCGATTCATATTTGAAATAACCTCTGTTGTATAAAATACTGCGGGTATTTTTACTTAAACGCCAGGAGAGATATTCATCGCATCTTTTTGTGCATAATATCTAGGCTTTTTGGTATGTTTTTCTCCTTTAGCTGATGGCAGAAGGCAGCTGTTGGACATCAACTTGAAGGAAGTTGAAATGGGGGACGATGTGGATCTGACAAAGGTTGCTGATATGCTTGACGGTTATTCTGGTGCTGACATTACAAATGTCTGCAGGTAAGGTATTCAAATTAATAAAGTTTGCTTTGGTTATGAGCCCTCAAAACTCTCTGATTCTGTAGTATCTTTTAATGCTTCGCTGTGCCATACCCATGAGCTGTTCATGTCAGGGGTATTTTAAAAATATGTGGTAACGAGAATTTTGCCAATGGCAGGCTGGACACAGTTCACGACTGGCATGGTATTGAAAAGGTGAATTATGTATTTCCAAGAAGGTGGCATTGAAAAGTAGGATTGATTTCCAAAAGTAAAAATTCTAAATAGATAAAAAATGTGCGAGTTCTTTCTTGGGAAAAAAGTTTGCTTGACTTTTGTTTGAGAGCAATTGGGAATCTCCCAAAACTGTAAAAATGACAAAAATCTAGTATTTAGAGAGATTAAATGTACTTATGTATTGAGGGGTATTTTTAAAAGTAATTTTACTTGAAAAGATTTTTATTGTGGGGAAAAAAATATTTTTACAATTTAGAACTAGCATTGAAAAAAATATTGATTACTCAATTACAGAGCAATGGCAATTTGAGTATTTCCGTTTTACAAATAGAATCTACAGTATCAATATTCTAAAAAAGAGTCCTACATTTCTTTAGTAAACAAGATAAGGGGGCCCTCGTGGCCTAGAGGTTAAGGTGTTGGCCTCTCATTCAAAGGTTCCGGGTTTGAATCCGGGTAGCGACCGAAAAATTTTCCTCTCTAAAATTGTCTCCTTTAATCTCCTTTCCTGCTCTCTAGCAATGTTCTGTCGTCTGCTTTCGTCTCCTCTTTCTGCCCCCACCCCTTCACCTCCTTTGCCACCTCCTCTGGGCTCCTAACTCTTTCTGCAGCCTTTCTACTGCTACTCCTTGGCTCCTTCTTACTGCTGTCTTTCAGCCACACCCCTGATCTTCTGGTAGGAAAGATCTATGCCTAGCTTTCTCAGACAAAGGCGAAAAATCCCGGAGGGCCTGTGTGCAAGTTGCGCACGTTAAAGATCCCTTGGTGGTCTAAAATCGATAAGAGTAAGCTTTGGCCGCCACCTGGACAAAATTCAAAGTTTCCTACCAACTGAAAAAGTTTTAATGTGTCCCGCGCGCTCATACGACCTAATGCAGTTGCGAGCAAAAAAAATAATGATACACTTTGTTTTGTACAAGTACTGAGACTAAGACTGTTATCTGGGCTATCATTTGGGCATCGGGATAAAAGTCGCTTGAACTTCGAAATCGTGTTTCAAAACTGAATGAAAACTGAAGATTATCGGTGGAAACTCTTGACCCAGAAATCAACGTTAAATTATAACCTTTATCTTAAGACGGATGTGTGGATTGGAATAGAATCTAAGCTAAAATTATAGCTGGGCTCTCGAGCCGTCAGGGGCGGCTTATGGCAATAAAGTCACTTTAGCCGCGCTACAGCTCTGCGTAGTGTATGAGTTAACCTGTTGCATAATGCCATCGAAAAAAAGTTTAGTGTACTGTTTCTAACCACTGCTATTTGATTTGTTTTCTCAGAGATGCAGCCATGATGTCATTCCGCCGACGTATATCCGGGCTTCGTCCTGAGGAAATTAGGAACATACCGAAAAATGAACTGACATTGCCCACAGTCATGGAGGACTTTATAGAAGCCATTAAAAAAGTGAACAAGAGTGTTTCTTCTGATGATCTTGAAAAGTATAAAAAGTGGATGGAAGAGTTTGGTTCTGTTTGATTAACGACTGGAACTTAATATCATTTTGGACTTCAAATCTTTTGTTTCCTGGCTCTGATCATGAAGCTTCTCAGCAACACTATTTTTGGCGTAACTTATTTGGCATGTTGTATTGCGCAGATGTATGTTGTATTGATCCTGTTTTCTTTTGATCATAGAAAAATGAAGAGTGGTTTCTCCATTCCTCATTGTCTTTTGCGGTTGTTTTTGTTTTTTTTTAGAGAACTAGACCTACATATATCATTCCTTCATATCCAAATTCTTCTGGAGAAGTGTCTGTCTTTTCTGCTGAATTATAATCTGAATTTGGTGCCTTGTCTGCCTTTGTAGTTTGAAAGGAGCAGCTAACTTTTTTGAAAGTAGTGAGTTGTCAGTTTTTCCTGATGCTCTGTCTTCTTTTTTTTTCACTTTGTACAGAACTTCCATTTCCATGACAGTCTCACTACTCTTAACCTTATGCTTATGTGCTTGGTCTTATTTGACATCTCAAAGTAATAAAATGATGGATTAATGAGTTATGATTAATTCAGTTTATGTTCCCAGAAATTCTATTGCAGTTCTGTTGTTTTGTCTTTTTTTTGTGAGAAGCTCTCATTTCTAAACAATATACTTGTGGATAGTCTGTGTAGCTAATATTTATAAACATGTATCTATTCTTTTGTAGAAAAAGAAACAGAGGCCTCAGTTTTTTCAGATATCACTCTTCATTGAAACAATTTTGGGCAACTGACTCTTCCGAATTGTCCTACAAACAGTAGATTTTAAAAAATAAGAAAAGAATGCCTAGCTTTCAATCAGTACATAACAGAATGTATTTAATGCATTTTTGAGGGTCTGTGTACGAAAGTCCTCTAAAAAGATACTCTGTTTTCTAGTACTAGTATTGCTCCTGATGGACTTGGCAATACTGAAGAAAAATTATGAACTTTCAAAACGGGATTTGCGAATAATAATGAGAATGATGCCCATAAGGCAATTGGAGAGGCCTTCGTGAAACATTTCTGACATTATTGTTACAGGTCTTCTCTGAATAGCTTGAATTTATTGAATGCAGAAAAGTTTGTGTGTAGGGTCTGCAGGGGGATTACTGGTTCAATGCCCACCATCTTGACATGCTGCCTAGGTAGAGTCTCTATATTTGGTTTTGAAAAGTTGGCAGCTATGAAGATTTAAAAAATTAGTGGCTCCTCATGCAGTCAGACACTCTGGGGTACTTGAGATGTGACAGAATTCTACCGTGTTCCCTATGGAGTATCTGTCCCTCCTCCCTTTTCGCTGATACTAATAGTCATATATATATGTGTCTACTGAGAGTGAGCAGTCAAATCAAGATCTTGGAGAAAACTGGACTGAAACATGTACAGTCGAACCTGTGTAAGACGGAATCGCAAGGGAGCTAGAAAAAAATTCCGTCTTAGACAGGGGAATTTATGGGGGTGGAGGTGGGGGGGGGGAGGGGGTTTAAAAGGCCCAGCTAGTGGGATCAAGGAAGGATCCTTTGTCCGATCGGCAAGCAGTGGTCAAAACTTAACACCTCTCAATTGCTATCCTGTCTGATAATGACTTGCGTCAGTCTTACTTATCCAATTACCACCAGTGTTTGCTCAATTAAAAACAGAAACGTTTGAACATCTCCTTTGCTTCCACCCTTAGCCCCACACACCAATGCCACCCCTCACTGCCATCGTTGTAACAACGATTCGAGGAACTCTTTTCTCGGCTGGCCGTACAATCAGGGCGGCAGGCATTGGTCAATCTAATTTCACTCCTCTGGCTGGCTTCTGGCCACCCAGGAAAGTTTCTGTAGCGGCTCGGTACTCGAGCACTCTCACGGGTAGTTGTGAGATTTCACACCCACACTACACTGACCATCTGCATCGCTCAGGGCTCACATGATGGGCTAACATCTACCCCCTACTCCCCTTCCTCGCCCAGCGGCATGGCCATAGGGTTAAGTTAAGAGCCGGTGGAACCAAACTTGCGAGTTTTGTTTCAAATTAGGGCTGAGCGAGCAAAGCATTTTCTGTTTTAGACAGGTGAAACCCTCGGAAGGGAGCGGATTTTTCTTTCCGTTTCCGCGTTTGACAGGTTTCCGTTTTATATAGGTAATTAAAGAGGAATATATCAAGGGGGGAACGGGGAGATTCCGTTAAGGCAGGTTCGACTGTATTTGCGGATAACAGTCTCTGAATCTTGAAGATAAGAGACGTAATTAATATATAAATATATGTATTTAAAAATTATATTATAGCCTTCACTGCTGTTGAAAAAGCCTATTTCTTGTCCAAGTGGCTAAAATAAACCAATGCAAATATCATATAAACTGTCACTGCTGTATTGATTACAAATTCTTGTGACCTTGGCTTATTTAGGAGAAATTTGTGCGCTCTTTGAAAGCTATTGAATTCTACTTATGTGATTCATTGTTCATGGCAGTCATAGACTTTGCATGTATTTCTCCAAATCACCTCACTTACTGTTACTTTTTAGAGATATCTAATGAAGTGTTTTTGGTAGATAGAGCTTTTAACCCTGGCTGTACAGTGGAACTCGGTTTCTAGTTTGAAACTTACAGTATTTCTCAAAAAATCATTTTGACAGACTGCTATGCAAAGCGTACGGATCTGATTAACAGCAAGTAATTTCCTCCTTGGAAAGTAGTGGCACAGAGTTGCCCACGTCGTATGATACGATAGTAAAACATGGCGTATGGATAGGGTTTAAAAAAGTACAAGGAGATGATGTGTTTATTGAGTTAGAGGGTGCTTCTGGTATGTTTTATTACTTTTTTTCATGTATCTTTTGTTTGTTTGTCCTCTTTTTTCCAGCTTCTTTGATCGAGATTATATTACATATTCCTTATTCATCCTGTTCTAACCTGAGGAGTCTGTAGTTTTGCAAAAAATAGTTATGGTGAGATTCACTTGGGCATACTCACTTTTTTGGACACGTTTTCAAGAAGCACCCTAAAAAGTCAAGTCATAAAATGACTTTCTTTCAGTCTTAAACATTAATGATGTAAATTCTGTGAATCAATTCTTATTCGTTCTACAATTTTATTCTGCACATATCTCATGATAATTATCAGTGTGTTGAAGAGCTGTTGCAACTTTTGCAGTCATAGCTAACACAAAAATGTTTTCTTTTTGCGTGCAACAACACTAAGTAAAATCTTTTTTTTTTGGGTGGAAAATTTTGTTTTGAAAGTTCAAAATTATTTAGTTCTGATTCCAGTTTTCATATGTGAGTGTCAAATATTAATCAAATCAGATTTATTACTGAATGCTGGCTGATTCATTATATAATGTTTTCCTTACTTTGCTGCTGGTATATCAAATCATAGTGCAGCTCACTTTTCTCCTCCTTTTGCCAGAGCGACATATGGTTCTTCTGGGTCCAATGTCGAGCTCAGACAAAGCAGTCTAACAATGTCAATAGCTGTAACAGAATGTATGATGTACTGATTAGTATGTCTTATACAGAGTAGTTGGCTGCTTTTTCAAAAGGACATTCATGAAGTGTTATTTTCGGCAAGTTATGCCAGCATGGTGCTCACTCTTCCCATCTCAGTGAACAATGTAGCTAGCTGCCTCTTTAAATGTTCTGCTATTACTGCTTTTTTTGTTGCTTTTTTTAGATTAACTTTGTTTTTAGCTCTATATATCCAATGGAAGGGAGGGAACTGCAATTTTTCAAACTCATTTTTTATCACAATAATATTACAATATATTACTATTCTTTACCTTGACTAATATGTCTTTGTATAGTAACCTACTGTTACTGTTAGGAGAACCACTATTTGAACAGATGCAACACTGGGTTTTTTGAGTCTTCTGTAATATTCCTGGCATCTACGTGTGAGCGTGATTGATACATGTAATAAAATATGATTGATAGAAGATCATTTTCTGTCCTGTTCATTCTACGTAAAACCAGAGATGACTAGTGAGAGATATTTCACTCGTCAGCTGGCCCCTCTTCGCATCATGTTATTTACGCGAGATCGGTGACACAGTGCCTGAAAACTGTGGCACGCCGTACATTTAATGGTCTGTTCCTCTCAAAGTCACTTCCCCATGTTATTTCCTATAGTTAATACCGGGGACAGAGGGATGAGCGAGGAGTCATCTCAGTTAATACGTCGGAAGTAGTGGTATGTTTTGAAGTTGATTAATAAATGGGCGCATAATCAATAAATTCATCAAATTTATGCTCCTAGGAAGGAAAAAAGAAGAGGAGGAGGAGGAGGAGGAGGAGCAGAAGAAGAAGGAGGAGGAGGAGGGGAAAATGAAGAAAAAGAACAAGAAAATGAAGAAGAAGAACAAGAACAAGAAGAAAATGACGAAGAAAAAGGAGTAGAAGAAAAGAAAAGATTTGGCGTATTGTGCGCACTAATGCAATGAGATGCGGGCCAGGAAACATACAGTAAGGTATGTTTTGAATTTTTCATCAAAACCTTGACTAGAATTACAAGAATGTTTTGACTTCATCTTCCCTGTGTGGATGTGGGTATGACGTGACGGTAAAGAAAGAGAAATGGTGTTAAAAACCCATTCAACCCATTCAGACAAACCCCCTTGCTTAATTTATTATGAAAACAACAAGGTGATTCCTCAGTTGTGAGGAACAGACTATTTGTTGTACGGCGTGAAACTTTCACCGGATGCCTGACCCCAATCTCGCCTGAATCGAGGAGTGATGTGTCTCTACTTTTTTGACTCCGTTAAAACTAAATCAACTCTTGAGAAATTATGTTGAGAACACTAGGGTAACACTTTCAAGCACAAATGACAAACATATACTTCATAATATGTGAGGCGTCGTGGTGAAATCAGGCGCTCATCAAAATAATGAAATCAAAGAAATCGGCATTTTTCGGCCAGTTTGAAAATTATTTTCGAAATTTTGTTTTTTTTGGCCCAACGCCTTGTATGCCCATTCAAAAACACTTTTATGTGTATATTTTATGGAAAAACATCGATTAAAGGTACACAAAATGTAAATTTTATTTGCAGTTTCCAAGGGCTCTTAAGCTATGGAAGTCACCAAACTTTGGCGGCCATTTCCTCACTGATTTTACTTCTGAAACCAGGCGACCCCACCTCCTTCAATCGCAAATATTCGGACTTCCATTCAAGATAAATGGGTCTTTTTTATCACCGAAAGCAAGGCAAATGAATAACCCTAAGATGATACCAATAACTCCAAATGCCCAAAAATTGACGAGCGCCCAATTCCACCTCGTCGTGACACATATTATATGCCCCCCAAAAATGGCCCCCGTGCACATTAAATTTACTACAGGAAGCAAAACTTCGTCGAACAGCAGCCACGTAGATAGTGACAATGACGTGTTCAATGTTCTGTACTACGTGTACTCCTTATCAGATGAGGAAATGTCAAACTAGTCAACTTACAAAACCTAGTCCTAGAGGCTAGACTTAAACTTTTAGGAAAAATAAGGAATTTATGGAGTGTAACAGATTATGTTCGTGTATTGCACTGTATTATAAATTCTAGCCCTAAAATCGATTAATACTTCTTCATAGAGAGACTACAGGGTAATTTTTATAAACTTCCGAGAAAATATGCGAATTTTCACGATTGTATTAGACACATAAAGTTGTATGTGGAGGAATTACTTCATAGCCATTTGAGTGTCAGATCGATAACGTTGCAAAAATACAGCTTTCTATCTCTGTTATCTGTGCAGATACGATATTTTCTGAGTATTTCCATCAATGTTATATCGTTCAAGTTCCAAAAGTTCGACAGCT